TGGCTGGAGGACTCGTGGGTGGAAAAATAAATGTAATCAACAAGTGCTCCCGATGAAATGGGGCCGGGCCGGTTCCATGTTGACCATGTTGACATTGCCTGACTGCATGGCATCAAGCTTTTACTCTACGATGGAATGAAGACCGTACACCCTTTGCCCGCGCTTCTTTCTTACCACCTTTACAGGCGTAATTTGACGAGAGGACACGAACCCTTTACAAGGACGATAATATTAGGCATCTTGATCACTTTTGAGGTTTGACGTCTAAACATGTTTTTGATGTGTTTGATGTCTAAATCAGGGGGTTTAATCTTCATGGTACGGCCTTCATTGTTTAAACTTACGGACTGAATAAAACCACTTATAAATGTTTTTTGGATAGGAATAGAACATTAAACGATACTGTAGACTTCTCTTCATAAGAACAATAACATCTATCGATATTACATAAATCAATTTCAATTCATAAAAAAAAAAGATCAAGATATCTATGAATAAAGTATTACACTAGACTATAAATCATTGAAATAACACAATACAATAATTTACCATTAATCATTTACAGAATAGATGTTTTCATCTAACAATAACGCATATTTTTCCTTGTGTCAGTTGAAAGTTGTTACAAAAAGCTTTCAAACATTGCTGATTTTATTTGGCATTAAAATATGTTAAGCTTCAGTCTATTTTATGTATATAAATCGTAGTAATCATCAAAACAAGACAAGTCGTTGACAATGCAAAATTGTAATTTTTGTGCCGGCAATTTAACCGCTCGATAGTTTTCGCCCGTAGTAATTATCTATCTCATAATAATAGCGAATGATTAAAATATGCGGGTTCGTTAAAAATCAATCAAGTAGACCATGTCACCAATGGCTTTACTATTAAAAAAAGCCTAGGTTTTGTGCTCCTTTTTGAGAAAGCAATCGAAACAGTATGGCGAGGTGGTATTATTTATATGAAGGTTGCTTATAATTTTCAAAATTATATAAATGAAATTGTGTACTTATTCTGAAAAACGAGATCGTTTCGTGTGGCCATACACAATTATATTTCTTTTTCTTTCAAGAGTAAAATAGGCGTCTCTCAAGGCTAGATTCTGGGTCCTACATTGTTTTTAATTTTTTTCAAGGAATTTGGAATAATAAAGCGACCCTGCACTAGATGTAAGTTAAAAATGATCATATTTAAAACTAGATCCATTTATTTCCATAAACAGAGGTATCCCATAACATAGTTCACAGTGGAAAGTCTTTTTTGATTGGTATAGGAATGTGACTTGGTCTAAGAATAACATTCGACTCAAAATTAAATGTTAATGAACATCACTTTGTTAGCAAAAGTAAAGCCCTTACTAGAGTATTTTCAATGCTTAGGAGTAGTGGGTACTTACCTGAATTCTGCCGTTAATACATTTACCTTTAGAGAGTCCTCGGATCACTGATTTTAATGAATCGTTTTACGATGTCACTAATTAGTCTTAAGATAAAGCTAATTATCTTTACGTTTAAAAAAAAGATGAAGAAATATGACACTATTATTGACATATAGAAAAGAGCGAGTGTATGCGGACCAAATATTATTTTATTCCGCATTGCGAGATGCATAGGTAATTGACGAAGCAGGGATGACATGTATAATTTTATGATTATTAAACAATCATTTTTATCTCAAATTAGTTGAATGAAAAAGTTGAGATAATCTACATGTTATTTACATCAACGGCCATGTGATGATATCTGCTGGATTATCGGCCAAACGACAAGGCCTTGTTTTTGATACAAATTTACCCGCCGTCTCAACTTTACGCTGTCACGGAAATTGATATTCATTGCACGGTTTCCATCGACCGGCCGTTTTGACAACAAAGGGTTCTTGGGGTTATATATACAAGCGTCATAATACCCTGTGTAAACATGTTACGTCCTCTGTAATTACTTAGATTCCCATTAATTGCACTCCGGGTCAATTTGAATCGCAGACCTCTAAACCGGACACGTAACAGATTTATTTAATAATGAACGATTGACTCGATTACTACAATGGGTTTTCCCTTTGTACAAAAACTTTTTTTATCTGTGTTTCGTAACATAATCGATACAAATAAATGTAAAAAATATATGTTGGATATAAATCACTTAAAAGGGTGTATTTTTTTAATGAAAAGGGGATTAAGCTTGTCAAAAATGTTGCGTCGATCAGCCCATGTCAAAATTACACATTTGTCAGAATTGGCGTAAAGCGAGGATTTCATTCTAACACAGAAATAAAATCATGTTTTGTACAATAGCAGTAATTAACAAAAAATTTATTTGTTTATCCTAATAAACAATGACTTTGCAAGATTGATACGAAAGATTTTCTAATATATTAGAGAAATTCTAAAACATCTGACAATGGCAATATTAACTTAATTGACCTTTGTGACGAGTGTGCGCTTAATTTTATATGTAGAGATTAGAACCCAATCGCTAGTTGTAATGTATGATGTGGTTGAAAATGTAGAAAAGAGTGTTGAGGCCACTGCTTCAACAGCCATCTCCCACGCTGCAGCTCTCGTCGACGAGGTCTTAACTTTCACTAATGGAGCAAGTCATCAGCTCTAGTTCCGGCAACATGAGGTTCCCGCATACTCGGTCATCCTAAAAAGGACTTCGAGAATCTTTAACGTCCGCACCTGGCCTATTCGGCCTTATCGGACGTTTTGATTCTCAAGATGAGAGCTGACGCACCTCCGCATACGACAGGATGGTGTTACTGCCGCAGCATTGGTGTACACACAGCTCAGCCCCGAAGGGGCAAGACAACCTCGCTCCCCTCTTGTCCATTCCTAGTGGCCGGGTCTGCATTGAGCATCGGCTCGTATGCCGCCGCAAAGGGCTACCTAAGCCGAAATACATTAGCTCGATCTCCCGCGCACTCCCTAGATAGAGAAGGCGACCCAGAGTATTGGGGTTTCACTAGCGTAGAAACTACCGGATTCGCCCCGGCCGCGGTTTCGTTTAAAGTAGAATTTCTACCCCCCCCCTAGAGGAGTACCGCCTATGGTAAAGCCTCCTATCGAGCTCAGCCTACACCTACATGCAAAGCATACTCGAGTAGAAGCAACCGATTCACTACCCGTTCCCATCCGCCACTTCTCACGCATTCGAGGGACTATCCAGCACAATCATTGCGTCCTCAACACCTATATGCTGCCGTCCGATCCGCCGTATCCCGTGAGGCTGGGTGTATAACGGTGGTAATACGCAAGCTTCGTGCGAAGATCACAGGTAGAAGACAGCCTCCTCTCTAGGTTCCCAACAGGGGCGTCACCACGTACCACTACGAATCCCATTCCCATTGTAACAGAGGCTGAAATTGGAACATTTCTGTTACCCCGTAGTACAGATGGTTATGCACCCTCCCCCGTGCAGAAAGGATCTGGTACCCAACCGTCGTGTGCCTCTGATAAGGCACCCGCCGCCCATGCCGACCCGAGGCCGACACGAGTACAGCCACGCCCTCTGTGCTACACCATTATTTTCCGCCCAGTTCCGGCAACAAGAGTACTCCAGCATCGTTTCGTGCACAGTAACTGACGTGGCCTGAGTCCCTTTGCTCACTAACGGGTCTACCGACACCCGCTGCATCGACCATCGGTTCATCGACATCAATCCATGGACTTCAACCATCGGCTCCACTCATAAAACCGGCCGTTTTCAGAGCCACTAAAAAACCCGGTTACTAAAATGACGTGATGATGTTCTTGAGAATATTTTTAGTTACTGGGAGGATTTCGCTGTACAGAACACGCCTCTCTTCATCATTGCTGCTTGGAGAGGCTGAATCATGGGTGGAGCTATATGGTTCCCTTACTCTTAACCTTCCCAGAGGCACTTCTCAGTCACTAATAATAGCCTCAATGGTGACATGATGTTTTGGAACTTATAGGTTTGAACGTGTGGCTCTACTAAACAAGTCCGTAAGTCCGTCCATAACAGTGCCGGTTAAGTCTGTCAAGTCATATTTTAATTATTTTGTACCTGAAGTTTTAGTTTTGTTTGTTTATGCATGGTGTGCAGATTCCAAGCGAATTAGACTTTTGTTAAGGTACATACCAAAATACCTTTGAGTAAATATACAAGCGAGTGACGTTTTATTCGTGATAAATAATATACCTATTTGAATTTATCGCCGTTTAATTTTACCTCCACTGACGGAACCAGGGCTCAAGGATTTGGAGATGGTGCTGAAGAGAGCGGATTGCTTTGAGAAAATGTCAAGGAAAAGGATGCTCTGGGATGAGGTGGCATGTTAGCCGTAAAGATAGTAGAGGAGTGGACCTAAGATGTTACCCTTGGAACACCTTTAAGGTAATAAAAAGAAAAAGGCGATCAGAGAATTTAAAAGTTATGTAAAGATAAAGATATCTTTGAGAAATAACCTCTGTTGCCAAATCCTCCCACAACATTATTTGCGAAATTTCTCCATGGGGTCTGTGGATTGAGCTGTTTGGTCCATATTTGTCTGCCTGTACTTGCTGGTTTGGTAAGTCAGACGTGTTTCAGTTTTTCGCCTTTTAAATAGGCGCAGAGGATTAAGTTTAAGTATTTGGAACAGCGAGATTTGTTTTACATAGATCTTTGCAAAGAATTGGGGAATAACAAATATTTAAAAAATGTAGAAAATAAATTTGCGTTTTGATTACAGCGTATTTGCTTGAATAATGATCACGAAAGATGGATCCAACGTTATTTCTTGGAATAAAAATTGAGTGAAAAGTGAAAAGATTCGACCGGTGAGTTATGGGTGCATTTTCGTCGGTGGTTGATCGCCCGGGGAGACCTTCGTCTTTATCAAATAGGAAATACGCCCTCATCACGGTCTAGTTACCCCGGAGGAGGAGGGCAAAAAAAATCCGGTTTAAAAATAAGAGGCAGGGTGGAAAGTCATGCGCACTGATGGGAAACCGAGGGACCGAGAAAGGGGCGGCAGTGTGAACAGTAGCCCGGGGATATGAGGTTCTCTCCTCTCACACTAAGTCTCATCAGGTACACACAAACAACACAAAACTCGGCTTCAAAGCACTGCCAATCAAACCAAAACAGAAAGAAAAAATGTTGGAAAAAATATATATCGAAAACTTTGCCTCGGCGCACCGAGTCTTCGGACAAGAACTGCATCTTCAAAATATATTTAATTCATATCTTTTTTTTTTAGAAATTCAAGCACCGGCTCTAATGTTTTTAGCATTTTATTCAATATTTCTGTACGGTTATACATGATTCGACTAACATTCAAAGCTTCAGGCTTGTATAAATTTTTTTTTTGTAAATATGAATGCTTCCATTTTTCTTCTCTAATGAAGAATCACTGCTTCCAGCGCACATCATCAAAGCACAAATCAAGGCCAAAAAATACAGTCAGAACTAAGCCAAAGAAACAATTGAATGATCCAGAGAATAAAAATATATGGGACTATTGATTACTAAAATTATTTTGAAATGGTTTATTGAATAATGCAATTAAATTTTCGTCCTCTTAAGCATCGTTCTTTGCCCTAACAAACATATTTTAAGAAATGAGGTCAAAACAGAAACAAAAATCAGGGCAACTATTATGGCCATTTTTACCTTCAGTATTTATATTTTGATTAAAATCTTTTTAAAGATCAAACATCGGCAGGGTTAAAAACTAAAAACAAATTACGAAAAAATTATTATTTAATTTAATTTAAATAGGAAACATTTCGAGTTTAATTTTAAATACATCATGTGAAGTCAATTTGTGGAACAACTAAAAATATATCTATTAAAAATGTTAAAAACTGGTTGAAACTAAGAAAATACATATGTATTAATAAACTGCAATGGTAATTATAATTTTTTAACTAAAACAATTTTACATTTTCAATTGTACAAAACTTTCCAGTTAATTTATTATCAGCGAAAAGCTAATTTGTAAACCATTAATAAAAAATCTCAGACGTTAAATTTCCGAACTCTCAATTTAATTTAAAAAACATCATCTGAGCAAAGTAAATTTCTAGAACAACTTATATATTTCTATTTAAAATAATAATTATTAAAAATAAGAACAGGCATTTGTATTAACAGTCTGTAATATTATAACTAATATATTTTTTCAACCCTTTAATTTTATACAATACTGTCGGTTTAATTTATCATCAGGGTAATCCATTTCGAACGTACTGTATTAAAAAGTATCTAATATTTTTAAAATCATATAAAAGTGTGCTTATTAAGTTAGAAACTGATAAAAAAATTATTGACCCTTTTATTTTACCAAACTCTCGGATTACTATAAAATAAATCATTTGAGCTAAGCCAATCTGAAGAACAATTGCATGTATTTGTATTAAAATTTTTTACATCTTGTCAGACATAAAAACAGGTGAAGGTATTATCCTAACAACCACCAATGACCAAACCTTTTTTGTCTAAACCCTTTCAAATATAAAAAAAATGAATAAAATGCAAAATAATAAATAGCAATTAAAACACATACATGTAGTTTTTTTTAGTCTGAAGCCTGAAAATTAAATTTTTTAACGATAAGACCAAGTATTATATATTAATAAACTGCAATGACAACATTTTTTTATTCAGAAACCATAAAAGTTTACTAAATACTCGTTTTAATTTCAAATACATCCTCAAGGTTAAGTAAATATAATGAACAACCAAATTTAGATGCGTTAGAAAAAATCAGATAACTTTAAGATCTCCTTAACTAATCTTACTATTAATAATTAATATAGTTTTGAAAAAATTCAATTTTACAAAGCTTTCGGTTTAATTTTCAATGAATCATAAAAGATGATCCTGGGTGGGTGAACTCATGCTAAACTATAGGGTTACTTATTGGGTCCGTCTTCACGCGCGGATTTATTGAACTACTCAAACGCGTTTCGGTATTTTTTTTCAGTGAGGATATCCAAGAAGAAATGATTCGTTCCTCACTGAAGATGGCGCAATGCCGAAACGCGTTTAAGTAGTTCAACAGACCCTCATATGAAGACGGGCCAAGTCAATTTGAAGTACAACTACTAGTGTATGTGCAAAAAATATATTGGTTCTTTGCAAATATAACAAAAGGCTTATTTATTAATAAACCGCGATGTGCTAACATACCCTAATCAAAAACCTTCGAGCTCTCGGTTAAATAACTTCATGTACATCATCAGAGATAAATGAGTATGAAGAGCAACTAAATTTAAATGTATTAAATATCAAATGTAGCCAAGGTTATGTAAAACTTATGTATCAATAACTAGCATTGAAAAAAAGCACGAGAAACTCTTCGATTTTACAAATATTTCAGCATAATTTCACATATATCGTCAGGGCTTAATCGATTTGTAATACTATTACATGTTTTGTTTAGATAATACATGATTATCTTAAATATAAGAAATAAATAATAAAAAGCAATGTTAAAAACTAATATAAACTTTTTCTACCAGAAACCCTTCTATTTGACAAAAATTTCTGTTTTACCAGTGCTAAGTCAATTTGTAGACAACAAGTATATATTTAAAAAAATTATCATCCTTTTAAAGGTAACATATAGCATACATATCAATAAACTACTTTATTAAAAACAAAATATATCCTGATCAGAAAACTTTCAATTTAAAAAAAATTCCGGCTTTTTTTCAAAACCATGAACGGAAGAATAACCAAATTTATATGTATTATTTAATAGCAAATATGTTTGAGATTAAATAAGGCGAATGGAATAAAATGTCCCTTTAAAAACGAATATAAATTATAAAAAAGCAATGAATTTAAAATACAATCATATGGCATTCGATTTTTTCGTTAATTAATTCATCAAAGTTTAAGTTTGTTCAAGCTTAAATTTCTGAAAAACTTTCTTCCTTTTTGTAACATATTTTGATTCATGTAAACAATCCTACTATTGGAAAACATTTTAAAAAACAGTGTTAACAAAAGTAACAGTTTTACGTAGGCTAATAAATTTTAAATGAAATCGTCAAGCTTTAAGTATTGTGAGATTAATATTTTATGTACAAAAAAATTATTTAGGGCAGAAGACTATTTTAGAAATATTTCTTTACAAAAATTAATAAAATTTTAGAAAATTCGGTTCAAGATGAAAATTGGTAATGAGCTTTGTCTCGTTAAAAATAAAACACGTAACACTTAAATAATGACAGAATGAAGCTTTTTTTTTTTTGAAAAATTTGGGACGTACTTGGTTAATGGATGTATGCCGTTGTTGAATAGTACTTTTCAGTGTAAAGTCTGTACCTCTAGAGACGGTAATGGAGAAGGCGCAATTTCTCGTCGTACAAAGGGTTCCGCACGGTTGAAGAGGAATAGAATTTCGACAAGTTTATACCTAGTTACATGTTAAATTTCACCGGGTAAAGGGCTAATATCAAATCCCCAAATGAAATTCGCCCCGGAAACGTATGGGTACCGCCCGGCGTGGCCCTCTTCGGGAATTGGAAAACTTTTAAACTTACCTCATTTCAGACGGAAATTTCAATACAGGAAGACGAACTCTTTTGAACTCTTTGATCTGGAACAAGAGAATTAGGAATTAAACTCGTTCCAATTTCCGGGATTCAAAGACACAAAAAAAGTATTGCGGGGGGCATGAACATTGTTTTTCAACAGTGAATAGCCTAATTATGCAGTCTTTAGAATGAACGTTAAAATGAAATTTCTTAACGTTATGTCGCAACTTTCAAACCATGATATACCACCTAAAAATAAACTCTATCATGAAACTTGAACGTTTGAAATATTTATTATTAAAAAATAAATTATATTATTATTAATAATAATTTCAATTAATTATTCTTTTTATGAAAAGTCTTGGTTGAGATAAAAAAATCAGTATCACGAACAGGATTCGAACCCACGACCTTCGGCTAAATACGCCGCTGCTCTACCACTTCAACTATCGTGACTTCCATCAAGTGGTACAGCAGCGGCTATCTGTTAGTGTGTTCGAATCCCGCTCGTGACACTGGCTTTTTTATCTCAACCGATACCTTTTGTAAAAATAATAATTAATTGAAAGAAGTAACTTGGTCAATTGACCACTAAAACGTAAATGGATTAATATTTAATAAGTAAATGAAGTATCATTTCACTGTACAGCTCCCCGAGGCTACTTCATAAGTCGCTGAGAATCCAATCCTGGATTACACGACATTTGAAAATGGCAAGAGGAAAAATTCGAACGGTTGTACGTTGAGATGGAGAGTTGGTGTCCGAGAGGATCGAAGTCGCAATAGCTCAAGTGATAGAGCAGCGGCGTATTTAGCCGAAGGTCGTGGGTTCGAATCCCGCTCGTGGTACTGACTTTTTTTAACTCAAACAAAACCTTCCCTAAAATGAATAGTTAATTGAAAGAAGTAACCTGGTCAATCGACCACTAAAACGTAAATGGATTAGTTATTAATAATAATAACTATTATTTCTAAGTTTACAAAAAAAAACTTAATATGTAAGTTAACAATAATATTTTTATTGGAATGCCGAATGTTAGAGCCTCTTAACTTAGACACTTCTAGCTTTGGTTTTTATGATAGTATTTTTATTTGGACTACAACTTTCTGTGGATTATTCGTTTTAAGTTTCGGCGAGAATTTACAATTATTATTTTTTTAAATTATAATGTTATATAAAAATAATATATATTTGTGGATATTTGAGCAAGTAGAGAAGATATATTTTGGATTTGGACGTTTTCATGGCTTTGAGCAGAAGCAGTTTCTCTTCAAGGATTTTCTATAAAAATTGTCAGGGTTTGGGTTTGATGAAATTAATTGTTTATAATTTAAAATTGTGTTGTCGAAATCTCCTGCCGGTTGGAAAGTTTAAATATTGGGCCAGTGTTGATCCCGAAAAGAGAGAGAGAGAGATGGAAAAAAAACCTTTCCAACTTCCGTAGATATTTATAAATGGGAAATAATAATCGTCTTCGTCTCGGTTTGGAAGGGAGGACCCGTCGCAACCGTTAGGCCCTTCCGCTTTCGGTTATAGAACGG